AACTTAAACACACGCTAGAATTCACAACGATTCACGCACTTTATTTACGGCTTAACTCGATTATCTGTCTCTATATCTCTCTGTCTACAATTCAGTTATTGCCGTCACTTTATTTGCCGGCTTATATACAATAAAAGCGCGCATCTAGCAAACGCTAGGACGTTCGACAGGTTCCTCGATCTTTCTAGAACTCCAGCGTCGCGCGACTTCCGCTGTCGTAACAATATTATTTATATTAAACTATTTACTTATTTGTTAAAAATGAGTATTCGCCCGCAAAAAAAGAAAATATATACATATATAACACTGTGTCCTAAGGTAAGGACGAACCTATAGTGTTCTATATATTACACCGTGACCTTAACCACGAGCTTACGCTTTAAGTTTGCATACAAATCATGTTTCTAAGCACGGACCTTACTAGCTGCATGACATGGCTTTGTGTAGAGAAATTCGTCGTTTCATTGATCGTTGTTTGGTCAAGTGACCTGGGAGGATTAAGTACGCCCTTTACCTCTGCCTCCCTCCTTGGCTGTTGGTTTGGCTCGCGAGTGTCGTGGATGAAGCCCTCATTAATCGTTTGCAGAGAAAGCCAAACAATTTGCTCTTCTGAAAAAGTAACAGTAGCAGCCACACAATAAATATATTCTAACACTGGCTAATCTATGGTTTGCAAGACAATAGTCAATACCAGTGACACTGAACGCACTGTATGTACTGTGTGTGTGAAAAAAAAGTGATATCTATAACAAATACACTGTCAATGTGAAACAAACGCCAAGTAATAAAAACAACCCAGCCATATAAAGTAGAGTTATCATACACACAAGCTAAATTAGAAGAAACAATTGAGGAGGGAGTCTGAATGTTGTTGCGAGTCTTATAACTAATAATAATATTAGTACTCTGAGGATGCTATTAATGTCTAAGGATGCTAAAAGAATGAAGGTGTGTAGGTCTGCGAAAGATTATGAAGCCTCTGAATCGGTTGAGGGTGTGAGGCCGGGCCCCTCAAGCAATACTGGAGGAAATGAGGCATCCACGAGCTTCACTTCATTAGAAACATACTTTGTTGGTCAGGAACAACCTTCCACCAGTCGGGAGCGTGTGACCCGCTTCAAAACCCGGCAGTCTGAAGTCGAAAGAGAAAAACGTTTGGCCCATGACAGAGAGTGGCACGCAATCTCCCGAAAGTCACAGTT